TTGACTTGGGATGATTTGGTTTGTGTGTGAGCGCGTCTGTGCATGTGCAGCAACCTGCAGGGGGTTAAACACAACAACGTGAGGCAGAAATGTCACACATTTATGCTTTCATCAGGATGTGTAACTTTGAGGGCTTCTGCCTCTGAAAGCTTCCATCATATTTCATCATGTTTCATTAAAACATTTACATATACAGACATGGGAATCTACACACATAGATGCCCTATAGCTACCTTGAACGAGGGGGGGGAATGAGTATCCCATCCCTCTATAATAACAGCTATGAGCTCTACCACCATCCTAAACTCACTTTACTTTCAGTCTAGACACCCTAAACCAGGTTTTCAGATTAGTTTATATCTGTGATACTAATGTTATGTTATGGATTGATACCAATTCACCAGTTTTACTTGTGGTGGCGGTGGTGGGGGGCTTTATCAATAGGAACAGCTGCAAAACATGTGAAAAGACAGTTAAAAGTTAAAAATATATGTACTTCATATATTCTAAAGTTGTTAAGTGGGCCAGATTGGAGTCTTTGGCAGGCCGATTTTGGCCCCTGGGCCTTATGTTTGACACCCCTGCATTAAAGTTTTCAAAAAATGAGAAAATAAGCATAGAAATACACAAACCAAATGCTTAAATATTATATGAATGTATATATGTATCATAATAGGAACATAATTTGGGCCTGGGAAGTAATTAAAGAAGGTTATTAGCAGGAAAAGATTAACAGGATTTTAAGTGACAGGCGCAGTGGTGATAACATTACCAGCAACATTAGCATGAGCTGATGTGTTTTGTCCATGAATTAAGTTGTCAGTGAAGCTTTAATTTCCATCAGTTTTGTAGACTGTTTTGCAGCTCTGATTTATTTTTCTGTTTATTTGTGTTCACGAAAATTATTCAAGAAAAAGCCTTTTATTTGATTTCTGACTGAATATGGAGCAAACATATTAAGCACCTGCTAGTCAGACATTCTCCTATACCGGCAATGTGTCTACTGCTGTCTGCTATCTCAAATATTTCTAATATACACACAAAAACAAAAGCACATTTATAGATATTGTGTTTTTAATGCAGTTTCTGATAAATATAAAATACTAATTTATGGGTTTTTTTTACATTTTTTGATGCCTTTTTAAATACTGACAATGACCAAATATATGTAAAAAAAAAAAAAGAGAGTTAAAATGCTCACTTGTTAGTGAGTATCCTATTATAACAGGTGAAGTTTGGATAGTCAAGCTGACAACAGTTTTAGTGCATGCTCGATATTGTAAATAATGCAGAATAGGCTGAGTCTCATGGATGTTGTCTTCATTCATTTTTACTGGTTCAGTTACACAGTAGTACTCGAGCTTTCTTTGCTTCCATCTGTGCTTGATAGCTTGTCCAGTATGTCTGGACATGTGCAGATGTAGGCATGCAGGCGTGTATTTAATGTGATAAACACACCTTTTAGTTGAGGTCACAAAAAAAACAACAGGTTAATGGTTTGCTGCTAATTGCTTTTTGATTGCTGGAGTTAATTACTAGACACACACTTCAGAACAGGTTTCCTTTATAGCACTGGTATTAACCTCACAGTGTCTTTCTCACTCTTTTCTGTGTGTCAGATTCAGAAAAAATGTCAAGTGACTTTATAGATTAATATAAAATTTGCTTACACTGTTGAATTTAAAAAAAAAAAATACAAATATTGTGCTTTGTGACAGTAATGAAAACACTCTTGATGGCTCTGCCAAGACTGCCTTGTCTCTTTTATTTTTTAGCATTTTCATGTTTACAAACCTAGGCAGGTTTAAAAAATTGCAGAATAGAAAATGGTATTGGTTTTTAGAATGCCTTTTCCTTTTGATGCTGTAAAGCACAATGCTGAAAGCAAGGACACAGCAGGAACTCCAGCCCTCTGTGTTTTCTGAGGCTACACACTATTGCTAACTGCATTACTTTAGTAGATATGGCCAGATACACAGCTGATGAAACTCTGTACCCTCCACCTCAACTTTAACTCAAAACACGTGTATACTTGTGTTTCAGGGAGAAATTGTGTTTCTGTGCCAGTGTGAGTCAACGTGTACTTTGGTTAGTGAGTGAGGGATGCCTGGGGCTCATTGCTCATCTCAGTGGGTATAAATAGAAAAATTGAGAGCCAGGAATATAAGGGCATCATTGTGTGTCTGAGGGGGGTGAGAGGCTGCGAGAAGAGAAAAAAAAAACATCTAATCTGATAGCAGGTGGATTCAAAGCTAAAGAATCCACCTAAATCGAACGGCAAGTATAATTTGTCTGATTGAAACTATATTCAAATTGCCACCAGCTAAATAACCTGGGTCAGTATAAAGTGTAATGTTAGCATCCAGAACTAATTTTTCAAAAGCAGGCTCAGATTTTTGCAAAAGGTGCCTTCATGACACTTTTTTTCCCTTCCTCTGGGTTTTCTTGGGTCATTCATTTTTCTTTTTTCTTTTTTTTGCAGAGGCAGACCTTTGGGAATTTGCCAACACCAACCCAGAAACAGCTCCTTGAAAAGAGTCCAGACATTTAAACAAAATAAAGATTTGGTTAAAAACATGAAAGGAATTGAGACATTTTTGCAGGACACTGAAAAGATATTTAGAAAAAGACATTCCTATGTGTGAAAACCTAATTTCAAAACTTCTATGCTTTGCTTCTTCTTATTAATTTTTATGCTTCCAAAAATTTTGAAACTTCTAAATTAATATGTAAAAAACAGATGCGATTTATCTATCTTTGATTATTTTTCATGAATTCTTTTCTTGAAGATGTCAAACTGTGTCTGTTCTTTGAATTATCATATTGTAGCACATTCATAAACAATTAAGTATCTGATTAAAAGCTCTATGAAAATCTAGGTTTACAAGAAACCGTCAATGGATCACATTAAACACAGCATCATCGCGTCAGATTAAAAAGCTGTCCGCATTAACATTTTGCTGGCTGACTATCCAGGTCGAACTCCTCTGCATGTGTGGAGTACTGAGGGTAGGGATGGGTATTGATAAGATTTTCACGATTCCGATTCCATTTTCGATTC